AATCCCGACAAGCAAGTGCTTGGTTTTGATGTCACCTCTGTCCGGAAAACACTGCGGAAAGTTAACATTCAGAAGGCAGCAAGCCCAGATAATATCCCTGGGTGGGTTCTTAGGGAATGTGCAGATGAGCTGGCTTGTGTTCTTAAAGATATTTTCAATCTCTCATTGCAGTAGGCAGTGGTCCCATCATGTTTTAAGACGGCCATTATTTTGCCAGTGCCAAAAAAGTCCACAATTACCGGTCTCAATGATTACCGGCCGGTTGCACTGACATCCATCATTATCAGCTTTGAGAGGCTGATAAAGGACATTATTGTATCTAGCCTTCGCCAGCATTTGACCTGCTTCAGTTTGCTTACCGACCAAATCGGTCTACAGAGGATGCTATTTCTTCTGTTCTCCATCTGAGCTTGGAGCACTTAGAGGAAAGATATACTCATGTGCGTCTGCTGTTTGTTGACTTCAGTTCGGCATTTAATACAATCATTCCCCAGCATCTAGTAGACAAACTGTGCCTTTTAAGCTGAAATACTCCTTTGTGCAACTGGATTCTTGATTTTCTTACTGACAGGCCCCAGTATGTGCGAGTTGGAACAAATATTTTCAACACCATTTTGTTGAGCACAGGTTCTCCTCAGGGCTGTGTCCTAAGTCTGCTGCTGTTCACCCTGTTGACCCATGACTTGTGCTAGGTTTGCCACCAACAATATTGTGAAATATGCGGATGATACAACAGTAGTGGGCCTTATTCAAGATGACAATGAGGGTGCTTACCGCAAGGAGGTTGAGGGTTTGGTGAACTGGTGTAAGAAAAGCAGCCTAGTTTTTAAACATTGGAAAAACCAAAGAGATCATTGTCAATTTCAGAAAAGGCAAGCATAGCCACACTCCTTTGTGTATTAATGATTCACCTGTGGAGATGGTTACCAGCATCAAATTCCTGGGTGTGCAGTTAACAAGTAGGCTGGCTTGGTCACTCAACAGCGAGACACTGGTGAAGTGGGCACAGCAGTGCCTGCATTTTCTGCATCGCATGAGAAAAGTACATCTTCCTTCCCCTGTCCTTACCTCTTTCTACAGAGGGACGATTGAGAGCATCCTGTCATATGGCATTACATTATGGTTTGGAAGCATTACTGCTTCAGACAGGAAGGCGGTGCAGAGAGTGGTGAGGATGGCAGAAAACATTATTGGCAGTTCCCTCCCTTCTATCCAGGACATAGCATATAAGCGTTGCTTGAGCTGGGTCCGCAAGATTGTCTGGGACACTACACATCCTCTTCATGACCTGTTTTCCTTCTTACCTTCTGGGAGGAGGCTCCGTGGTATCTGAAGCAGAACATTCAGATTCAGTCATAGTTTTGTTCCATACAGTGTTAACCTTACGAATGCTAACACTTCCTCTTTCCGTAACGTATTCAAGATGGTCAGTGATTAATATTTATATGTTATTTTTATGTAAGGGTGAAGGTTTATACATATGTTGCATATAGCATGTTTAAATGTGTGTTATGTATGTGTACAATTTTGAGAGCAAGCAACTAAATTTAATTTTAATGTGTGCCAATGTGCCCACAGTAAAAAAAATGACAATAAAGGTTATCTATCTTATCTTATGTGGAATTAATAAAAAAAAGATAATCATTTTAGTACTTTCCAGTAATATCTTGAAGTCATTGTGCTACCTGTTGTAGTTCTTGACTGCTGAAAGGTTGCTCATCTTGTTATAAGACAAGAACCAATTCCTGACCCTCCGCCCTTAAGCTATTTGTATAGTCATCTGTGGCTTTCAGTGGAGTTCACAAACCAATTGCAATCATTTGAATTTTCATCAAGACAGTGGAAAAAAGAATGCATGACATAATGAAGGTCAGCAAGGAGTTAGAAAGGTTTCTACTAGTGATGTGGGAAATACATTATAAGGTTTTCCCATTTGTCTCAATGCTGCTTGCTAATAATATCTTTTCCTTCTTTTGTAGATAAAGTACCATGAAGAATTTGAGAAGAGCAAGATGGGTGCTCCTGGAGGGGAGGGAGGGGAGCTGGAGCGCTGTAATTCCCAAGAAGGTGCCAATTACAGGAGAACAGTTGAGCAGCCACCACCATCACATCAGCAACCTCATCATGCCCAGCCAAGTAACCTTGGTAATGAGCAGGAGGAAAGAGATATTGTTGGTAATCCCATCAATGTATTCACATGAATTTAAATATTAATTTGGCCTGCAGTAATTTCATCTCGCACACATGAGAGAGGGTTGCCTTATAGTTTATAATTATTATTTATTTCTTACAATGCAATCTAAGGAACTCATGCTGGAATATAGTCTCATTTTATTTAATTTAGCTGTGAGATACATTGGGCTGAAAAAAGGAACTAGCCGAAAGTTACTATTGATGGTTGAATGGGGACTTGAACCCAAGTCTTCCTAATCCCAACCCATGTTAGTATTACATAACATCAGATTTCTATTGTTAGAAGACTCATGAGATACATGTGTGAAATGAAACAATTCCACAGCAGTGAGAAGTGGGAGGTGGAGCTTATGCTAAAGTGACAGGGAATAATATAACACAGGTGGAAAGACTATGCTAGTTGATGCCAGATATGGCATTCTACACTCAGTTTATCCATCTGATATTAAAAGCAAGAAAAGCATTGTAGATGAGGCCTGTCAATATTGTGTGCAAAGCTGGAATGATTATCTGTAATACTAGGCAAAATAAATGGTTGTTGTCATCAAAAATGTAAAAGTAATAGGACTAATAATTGCAGATAGAAATATGTCGATAATACCTTCCATTTTCTTATAAATTATATTCTGTTCAGTTATTCTATTCAATTTTATTACAATCACTGACCAGTATTCAAATTCATGCACTCAATAGACCATGCAGAAACAATATAAGATTCAAATAAAATTAAGGCTTAAAACCATTAAGCTTTAATAAGCATACAAATTGTGGTTCCATTTGATTACAAATTATTAGAAATTATTCTCCCCCAAGTAGTGACACCAGGCTCAAAAAACAGTCAGACAGAATTTTGCAGCATGCCATTTAATTCTAAAATTACATCAATCCACAAATAAACAGCACAAATGATTTCATACCAAAGGAGTTTTGAAAACAATGTAAAATAGAAACAATGATGAAAAGAAAGGGTTGTACTTAATGCTTTACCAGATGTTGTTGTCTTAAAGTAGCATTTCAATTTGTGACCTTTGCATCTCATAGAGATCTTCATCAGGAATTTTGCATTGATAGTCATCCAGTGCAGATTCAAGTTGTAATCAGTAAACAGTTAACAATTTGCTTGCAGTTAAGAATTTGTTTGTCTCTTCCCTCCCCCCCTCCATCCTAGTTTACCATCAGCAGTCATCACAACAACCAGCCTCTCAGTCCTGTGGCTATAAGGAACCAGCAGCACCAGTCTCAATACAGCATAGTGCCCCAACTGGAGGAGGAGTAAGTGTGGTCCTGCATTGATGCGTATATAAAATATCTTGCAAATATTTCAGGTTTTTATTCTGAAATAAGTAGTTTAACTACAATCCTATGATATGGTCTATCTCTAAGGTTCAGGTGAAGGCAGGAAGAAAGGTATACATATTAAGCAAATTATTTAAATTGCATCAATTAATGTATATTGTAAAGGAATAATTTTGCAAGTCTTATCTCTGTGTGTGAAACTACACAGAAGGCAGCTCAAGATACTATGATATTTAGTCTCAAAGGGTCTATTGATTCCCTGATTTTAACTGAATCTTGAAGTTATGGTTCCATCTTTTTAACACTTAACTTGTGTAGTTAGAAAAGTCTCAGATGATCAGTAAACCCTCTAACTCAAACTTCATTCAGTTCATGCTGATCTGCAGGACAGTGGGGCACAGTGCACCTATAAACCAAACCTAAGACCAAAGTACCTGTAAAATTAATACAGTAGTGTGTAGCATTTCTAGGTGTTGCCCTTAATTTTTAGCCTGTGCTTTTTAATATTTTATATTGCAGTTTTGTAAACAATAATATAGAAAATAACAATTTAAGTATAATGTATAGAATAACATGAGGGAGATGGGTGGTTAAGAAGTTTGATATATAAATATAAATAAATAAATTGTGTTTGCATATAACAATAGGCCAAAACTCTTCTGAATTTGGGGTTGTTATAAGAGTTAGCATCTACCAGAAGAACAGGCCAGAAACACTATTTGTGATGGGAGCTAATAGGAGCCAAACGTTTGAATTTACCTATTCTTAGGACTTCACACTGTTCAGTTGCTCACTAGAACGCTGGAAAAAGGAGAATAGAGAATGTGGAGCAGGGAGACTTAAAAAAACTTTGCTGCAATCTGCAGCATCATACAGCACAGGGAAAAAAACATGTAGAGGGGGACATAGAGCATATCAGAACTTCCTGGAATAGGTGGCTGTCCAAGCAGATAAACTAGTTTTTATTTGGTCTATAGCAGGGCTTTTCAACCAGTGGTACGGGTACCACCTGTGGTACCTTGGCACCTGGCAGGTGGTACGCGACCATCCTAGAAAAGTGGTAGTGGGGGAGGGGAATGAGCTGAACCGGTGGCAGCACCGCACAAGCCTGAGCGAGAGATGGCTGGAGCTGCAGGGCTGTCAGGGCTCAGCGGAAGCGCCAGGATCAGCGCCAGGCTCCAGCTGGAGCTCGGCACTGATCCTGGTGCTTCTGCTGAGCCCTGAAGAAGCACCAATCAGCTGGAAAGCAGCACTGATTCTGGTGCTTCTGCTGAGCCCAGAAGAAGCGCCGATCAACTGATTCATATTTATGACGGTCATAGTGTCCCAGGATCATGTGAAGTGACCAAAACCTGCTGCAATCAACCAGCAGACGGGGGGAGTAAAAACCAAACACACCCCACCCCACCCCAATCCTCAACAGAAATGCTCACAACAATGAAAACCTCAGACAGGAGGAAGAGCGCCACCGGGCGGGCAGGCAGGTGATTTGCTGGGCTGTGCCTTGGGGGGGGCACTTTTTCAGTGCCATTGTAACTTTGAACAGTCACTAAGCAAAGTGTTGTAAGTCAAGGACTACCTGTACTTTATTACTTTTTTCCTTTTTGGGGGAGGGTCATCAAGTTTTTGACACCTTGCTAGGCGACTGGTGGTACTCAGATATTGCCATATCCTAAAAGCGGTACAATGGGTGAAAAGGTTGAAAAGCCCTGGTCTATAGCACGTGTGTCAAACTTGATCGTGTCATGTGACGTATCGTGAAGTATCATGACGTTTTTTGCCTTTGCGGAGCCGGGGTGGGCATGGCCTGCACGTGATGCATCTGGCCCACAGGCCGCCAGTTTGACACCCTTGGTCTATAGGTTGGATGCCTTCTTATATTTTATCTCTGGGAGAAGTACATTAATTACCAGTTCCAAATTCCTACTGACATGCTTACATGCTCAGACATAGTAATGTAAAATACAATGAGTTGGATACTAGGGCTGCTCTAAGCAACAGGGAAGTGTGGAAATTTTAGGAGATAAAGAGATCAGTGTTAATTTGTACTTTATAAGATGCCAAACAAGGAAAACTGGTAACTGTTCCTTTCTGCTTGGATTTCATTTTCTGCAGATAAACTTTCCCAATTTTTTGAGTTTCAGGTTATTTGAAAATTAGGGTGGGCAGAGGAATAAACCCTTCCATCAGCCTCTATCTGCAGACCTTTAGCCATACTTCCTGCACTTTCTTGAAGCTCCTGAGTTGGCACAAATATTGCCAAATAAAACTAATTGAACCTAAATATTAAAGTTTTTCTTCTCTCCTTTTTCCCGTTTTGGGAATATCATCATTTCTGAGCATTGATTTATACTTTACTTTCTTCTCTCTCCCCTCCCCCGTGCACACCACCCAGAAACGGTTCCGTGCAGTCTATGATTACAGTGCAGCCGATGAAGATGAGGTCTCCTTCCAGGATGGTGACACCATAATCAATGTGCAGCAAATTGATGATGGCTGGATGTATGGCACCGTTGAGCGGACTGGTGACACAGGCATGCTTCCAGCTAACTATGTGGAGGCAATGTGAGATCTGTTGTGGTGCTACCCTGAAAGCCAGTAAGGGAAGGGCTCTTTGGGGTTTTTGTTCCATTATCACTTCTCTGCTGTCTCTTATTACTCATCAGTTATTATGTTCTGAATCTTTGACATGGTCATTTTTTTCCTACCAACTTAGCCTTTTGGAGGCATTTGAATTTGGGAGGGGTATTATGTGAGATTTTTCACAAATGCTAATTGCCTTTCCATCCTCAGCCTTCATGGAATATAGTACTATGTCCCTATCCCTCTGTCTGGAATTGTATTTTTTGGAATTGATTCTTAAAAATATAAACCCTAATTCAACTGCTACATGGACCAGGAAGTACTGTAGGTAAAAAAGGTAAAGGTTTCCCTGTCCAGTTGTGTCTGACTCTAGGGTGTGGTGTCATCTCCGTTTCTTGGCTGAGGAAGCTAGGGTTGTCCGAAGACATTTTCCGTGGTCATGTGGCCAGCATGGCTATATGCCAAAGGTGCACAGAATGCTGTTACCTTCCCACCAAAGTGTTACATATTAATCTACTTGCATTTGCATGCTTTCGAACTGCTAGGTGGCAGGAGCTGGGGCAGGAATGGGAGCTCACCCCGTTGCACGGTGCTCAGCTCTCGAACCCAGGCTGTTAGCTTTCCAGCTGACAAGCTAAGCATCTTTAACCGCTGAGCCTAGGAAGACCCCAAAGCAAGAGCTATTGATTTGGCTCAAGGGGAAGGAGAGGAATGTCACACTTTCAGTAATTTGGGGGACATCTAAACATTTCTGTTGACAAAAATGACCAGGTTCTCTTCAATGCTGACTCTTGCTCATTTATTCAATTGAATTTTCCTTTTCATGAATTTTATTCATTTGAAAGAAATCAAAGTATTCTTTAAAAGCAGGAGAGCCTTTTGTGGAATCAAAGGAGTGAGCATATGTGTAGTCTATACAAGGGATATGGAAGCCACAGCAGTTTCTGGCATAAAAGTACTATATACCAATGGAATAATTTAGCAGGGTTGATTATAATGCTAGTATTGCCTCTTAGATGCCATGGCTCAGTCAGAGTGGATCTCTAGTTTGGTCTGATACGGGGCATGATTAGACAATAATCATACGAATGCTCATGAAGAGTTGCCACTAAAACATCTAACTTGCACAGCTCAGTTTTGATGCTGCCTTATTTTGAAAGCAGATGAAGAGGGACATCATAATCCAAATGATTTTCTCCATTCTTGCTGCCTTCCCCTTTACCCCAAAAGTAGTTTCAGAATGGTATTTTTTTTTAAGTCTTCCTTAGGTAGTGCCCACACATGGCCCCTTTTAAAGTCCTAGTATCAGTTTTCTCCTTTTTTCAGACTCCTAAGTCCAGTTGGTATTTAATGTGTGGAAGTAGACAGATTTCCCACGGTTCTCTGTATCAGCCCTAGCAAAAAGAGTCACACTTTTTACGGAGGAGCTATCTTTGGGACCACATTGTTGTTTGTCATAAGTTTCTACTGAAAGTAGATTCTTGTATGAAGAATTTGTTTTACCAGATTCAAATCTCTTGTCAGCTAGTAGGCAGATTAGGGAACAGCTGCTTCTTTCCTTTGTGTGCTATTTGAGCCAAGCAATGTTCACAGTCTTTCCTCTTTTCCACTGCTTCTCCCTGGTGGACCTGGCACTTGGGAAGTCATCAGGGGAACAAAGATCTTGCACTAGAGACATTCCACTTTCTCCTTTGATTTCAATCTGACAGTCTCTGTTGCTGCTTGGGATAGTATCATGAACCAAAATCAAATTCTTTAGAGAAGTTTGCTCTCAAAAATAGCAGGGAACTGCTTCAAAACTGGAAACTTGTGTTGCTTGGATATTGTGATGGAACAACAAAGGCAAGGAGGATTACTAAAAGTGTGAGATTCTTAGTTCATTTGTTCATCAAGTAGAAATTGCTTTGTCTTATTTTTAAAGATCTCCAAAGGCTCCCCCCCTAAAAAGGCAAATCCTGTCAGCAAATGTACAGCCTGCTCTGTCACACAGCAGAAATTAGCCTGAGTGCTGGTGTTGTGTCCTGAGCCTGCAGTAGCAGGCTCGGGACGTTGTCATGGTAACGGGCTGTTGCAAAGCTGCCCAGGACCAGACAAAGCGGCGCCAGCCTGTGCGCATGCGCAAGGCACAAAAGCGTACCATTTTATTGTATCTTTTTTACCCGGGGATTTTGGCCATTGAAAAGCAAGAGAGAAGCCTGTGAGCCTCTGAGTTGTGACGGAGCAATCAAGAGGAGAATAAAGAACTTGTTGCTGGAAATATGTTTGCCATTCTTTCGCCGCTAAGACAAGGACTTAACACTGGCGACGAAGGTGGGATCGTCTTGCAAACTGAAAGAAGAAGATTGTAAGACTTACCCAAGGGAGTCCTTGAAGAAGGAAGACGGCGTTAAATTCAGCATCTGGCCTGCCAGTACAGTGTCGCTGGAGGTAAGCTGGCTGATAGACCCCTTCCTGAATAGCAAGCAAGAATGGCAAAGATTGGGAGGCTGTCAGAATTCGACGTAGCTCGCCCAGAGAGATGGGAGTCTTATGTTGCTAGAGCAGAGACTTACTTCAGAGTAAATCAAGTTAGAGAAGATGGCTTGAAGGCTGCAACCCTGTTGTGTGTCTGCAGTCAGGACATGTTTCAGATTGCAGAAAACTTGGCAGCCCCTGCTCCTCTAGAGTCTGTAACATACACAGACTTAAAAAATTTATTGAAAGAGCATTTCCAACCAGAGATGTCTGTCATTGCATGGAGACATACTTTTGAACAAAGGGATCAGAGGGCAGGAGAATCAGCTAAGGAATTTATTGCAGCATTAAGAAGAGCAGCCAAACCATGTGACTTTAAGGATTTAGAAGAAAGACTTAGAGACCGTTTTGTATGCGGTTTAAGGAACAGAGGGCTGCAACAAAAACTCTTTGCAAGGAAAGACCTATCGTTCCAAGATGCTTTGAGAGAGGTAACAGCTGAAGAGGCAGCAGGTGGGGCAGTCAAACACATGCGGCCCATCAAGAACAATTCAGAAGAAGTTCCTGTGCACCATGAGGAAGTCCAAGAAGGCCCGGAAGAAGATCCTGAAGAAGAGGTGGATCATCTTTTCCCATCTAAAGATGGAAAGAAGAAAGGAAGCAAAGACAAAGCTCCAGCTGGGCCTAAATGCTTCGGGTGCGGAGGTCGCCACAAGAGGGCCGACTGCAGGTTTCGTTCAGCCGTCTGCAGAGCGTGTGGAAGGCAAGGCCACATAGCAGCCGTTTGTCTAGGCCAAAAGAAGGTACAACTTCGAGAAGAATTGCATCTGAAAGGTACCAGGGTCCCCAGCCAAAACAGGGTGGGCTTCTGCGCATCGCGCAGGAGTGTTTGCAGAACAGGCACACACAAACCTCTTAAAAAGAAGTTGTCCCTTAAGGTGAGGCTGCAAGGAATTCCCTTGACTATGGAGCTGGACACTGGGTCCGCTCTTTCAATTATTTTCTTTCATACATTCAGGAAGATTTGCAATAGCAGTGGGTTCCAGGCTAAACTTAGACCTTCCAACATAATCTTAACAGACTTCCAAAACTCCAAGGTGTGTGTAAAGGGGGAGGCCACCCTTACTGTACAACACAAGAGTTTTGAGGGTCCCTTGGATGTGTTGGTTGTTGGGGGTGACAGAACGAGTCTTATAGGACTC